AAAATTATATAGGACTCAGGTGTACAATTCTACAATATATAATCTATATATTATATTATGTGTTCATCACCCTAAGTCAAGTCTCCTTTGAAAATTCATCCCAAATATATGGTTGACATAATAGAGGACAATCACACTCCCCCACAAGTATTCTGGAGGACCATGTATCTGATTGTGGTATTCATTATACTCATATGTCTCCCCTGTTAGACTGGAGTTCCCCAAGGGAGGAAATGCCTTTCTTCTTTTCTCTTAAGCTTTCATCATGCACAGAGAGAGCTCAGGACTGGAGGTTGATTACCAAATGACAGTGTGCCAGAGTCACTTACTGTCTAATAGGTTATTAAAGCCTACTTAATATTTTATAGTATGTGGATTTAATATTTATAATAATTAGCTCCTAAATCCAACCATTTGTTATTTTATACAATATAGTCATCAAAGACATTAAAATTAATATCACAATAGTAGAACTAAAAGTCCTAAATCTGCTGCAACTGCAAGAGATATAATCTAAGTAACTAAGAAACAGATTTGCCAAGGTAACACATGATAATTGTCAGGAATCTTAAGTACAATTCATAGCACTTTTACCTTAACGCAGATTGCACTGGCAATTGCAAGGTTAGGAAACAAATAGAGAACAAACTTAATTTAACCACTGCTACCAGTATAGCTTTCCATTTATTCTAAGACTGTTTTTTCAATCTCTGTTACCCAATGAAATATCTGTAAATGTTTAAATGTTCAGTGGCACACCTGAATGGACAGGCACCTCTACTTCCACAGAATAAAATTGGCGATATAGGTATATAGGGCATGCTGTTGAATGTTAGGCTGAGAGGACCCCAAGTTCAGGACAGAAACAAGGGATGGAGAACAGAAGCCTATTTGAAATGAAGCTTCTACTCCCCTAGGAACAACATGGATCCTAGCAACACTGAACAAAGGACTATAGACAAAGCAATCAAGGATTCTAGACCATAAACCATTTTCTATCTCTGGGCTGTATACATTCAGATACTTCACTGTCCTGTATTAGCATTATCTACCATGCCCATACATTATGCTCCTAACTCAGCAAATTGTAAATACTGGTATTTTCTGTTGCATGAGAATTTAGATTATATAATGAGTTTGTTATCAGACCATTTGCTCTCTGTAAGAGGAAAGCCAGAGCCTGGGGACACTGTTCTGTTCATCAACTAGAGGAGTCTGACCTACAGGAAAGAGGCTGAGACAAAGCCCAAGGTCAGGCAGTCAGAGCTCTGCAGGGAGACAAGAACCCAAGTAGGACAAGCCTTACTAAGGATACTTTGCTAACCCACTTAGGTTGAACCAACACCCTAGTGTGCATGGAGAACGGAGTAGTGGGATTTTGGCACATTACTCAAAATCCTTTCACCACCCATACTTTAAACATAAGGTAGTTTTAGCAGCCTATAGGATTTCTAAGGAAAATGGAGAAGCTGGGAGATTGACTTTTGAAAAATGATGTCGGCCTATGGCCATCAAGAAGGGGAAGATGGAAAAAGACAAACAGAAATAGCCAGACCTCCAGTGCCCATGGAAGATTCTTAGCAGACTTTTACTTCATGAAAAATGAAGAGAGAAGCATATGTTGATCCTTGGGGAAGGGGGAAAATAAAAAGAGGACTAGCAGCCTGCACAGGGGAATAATTGGATATACATTTCTTGTCTCAGAGGGAAGGGGGTGGGAAGAGGTGGAGGAGGGTATAGGTGGGATTAATGGTGATGAACGTAGACTTGACTTGGGGTGGTGAACACACAATACAGTGTACAGATGATGTGTTGTATAATTGTGCACCTGAAACCTATATAATTTTGTTAACTAGTGTTGCTTGAATAAATTCAATAAAAATGAAATAAATTTCTTGTCTCAACACCACCTATCTGGTCTTCTCAGACTTGTTAGCATTATTCAATACAATGGTTGAGAAACACTTTTCTATTCTTTTCTCTACTCTGCTCAGTGATGAACTAGATGTTTTGAGAGACCAGAAATATAGATCTTAATGCAATATTTCACTCACCAAAAAGTGAAAAACTGAACTCTCCTGATCCATCATATATCCAGTATCAATGTATTACATGTCATATTTTGATGATGCAAGGCTCTAAGTCAAGATATCCAGGTTAAGGAATTATTTTGCAAACATACTACCTCATGTTCCCCTTTGCACAGAAGAAAAACACTTAATGTTAAATGGAAATGCAGCACCCACTGGTCTCCACTAGCATCCAAATCCCATGGCTTGATGGCTTCGGAGTTACCAAAATCCATAAAGACTGAGCAACAGACACACATGAGGCCAAGCAGGTACCTTTGAGAACAGCCATCTGAGACACATTCTGTGTCTCAGACTTGTCTTTACCTTCTTTTTAGGGCTCTGTGTCCCAGTTGGTAAAGAGAGAACCTGAGTGCCAAGGGATACAGTGAAAAGAAGACATTCTCACCGCTTCACCAAGCCAATGAGGTTTGGTGAGTGGTAAAGACATACTCCTCCTGCAGTTTCCTTCTTGGCTGTCATGGTGTCAGCATATTTTATGGGAAGAGGGATGAGGAAATGGATAGGCTCACTACCCAGAGCAATTTTTGGATGCAATTATGAGACTCCACTGGCACAGTTTTAGGATCTGCAAGTTGGAGCAGGTTGCCCTGCACTTAAAGAGGAGGGATTAACTAAACCAACTTCATCTAAATTAATTTGCACTGTTCAAATGATACATTTGCAAAGCAATCAAGTCACTCTGATTTGAGGCAGTACTTCTGGGGGGGGGAGGGGGCATGCAAGGCACAACATGCTAGATGAGAAGTCTACTAGTCAAGAAAGTAAACCAGAGAAACAATTGCCCCTTCATGTCCCTAGCCTCTACCCTACCCCTCACAGCCCCTCCCTGTCCTAATCCTGCAGCTGCAAGTAAGGAAGCAGGCCTCAAACAAGCAGGAGGCCAAAATACTAGGCCAAGGCTCGGGCCTCAGTCCAGTCAGTGGAGGCCTCTGCACATTGTAGGCACTTAATAAATATCATTGACTCAGCTCTGCTAGATACTAATCATACTTATATTGCCATGCCTAAAATTATTTATGCCACTTTTCAGTAGAAATTAACTGCCCCCATAAAGGCTAAAAATGGGTGAGGTTTTCAAATGAGCCTGAATCAGATTGTTAGGTTGGAGTACATTAGATATGATTTAAGCCTCGACTTAAAATGATCACCATTACTCTGTATGTCTAGTTTTATTTATGTTTCATTCAGTTGTTTGTGCATTAGGGGAGAAAAACAGACTTAGGACCTAAGTACAGTGATAGATTTGGCTCAGGGGGCTAATAATTGCAAGTTAAGGTTTCCAGAAACTAGGGTTCCTACTTACACCCAGTCAATCTATTATACCAATAAAAAGGTAAATGAAGCACTTTCTTTGAAAAGCATAATGCTGAGGGTTTATAGAACCCTTCCATCTTCAAAAGACCAAGAGAAGGCTCACACTACTCAGTACACAATATTATGTGCCTTTCACACAAGTGCATCAACTATGAAAGAAAGGTCAGAGGAATGTCCTAAGGCCATAAAGACAATGCAACATATGATTTGGGATGAATTCTCTAATCATCTCAGCTCCTAGACCTGTATTTCAACCACATAAATCAAGTTGTGAGGAACAATCAGAAAAAAATATCTAATTCACATTATATATCTCTATGAAGTTAATTGATTTGGCAGGAATATATAAAAATAGTAGACTGTTTCCCTCTCAGGGCATGGTGAGTGGAGAGGGTTGGGGGTAGAGTGGGAAGTAGGGGAGGGACTCTCTCTTCAGCATTTCCCTTCTATTGGAACATGGCCCAATAACTGGTTAGAGCACTGGGAGGGAAAAGAATGATATTAAGGGCAGCTCTTATGGGCCAACCTGAGAATCAGAGGAATCAACCCTCAGACAGCATTTGTCTATCTACAGTCTGTAATATATTCTTTCGTAAGGGCTCCTCATCAGAGACACACCATCACTGAACACATGCCCTACACTCAGAAATCCTGAAAATGACAAACTGGTTGAGAAGCAAGAGGCTGCATGGCTGGAAAGCTGGGGGTACACAGGCCGATGGAGGGATGGGTGGGTTCTGGTGGGAGATTTGGGTGGACAGGTAGGTGTGTGATAACGTAGAAGGAAAGTGAGTGCGAAGTCGGGTTGGGAAGTGTGGAAGAGACACAGTGAAGAACACAACCACCGCAGGATTCCAATTTCCTGCTCCAAGAGAAGCCTCTAAGAAATAAGGTGCTGTACACAAAGTGCTAAGTAGCCTAAACCTTATCATCACCAAAGATGTTTCTGTAAATCTACTCTGCAGTTATTTACTTAATTCTTTCGAGCCAAGAACAGAAAAACACTACCTCTCTGAGACTCAGTCGCAGGCAGTCCAGTGGACATAAGTTTCCCCTCTCCCCCACTGAGCTGGTCTCAGAGGTAGGCCAGAAATAAGGAACCGCCCAGACAGAGACTCAAAGATCACTCCCCTGGCAGAAAAGGGATTAAGTTTTGCCTGCCCTCCCTGTGGGCAGGGTGTCCGCAGCATCTCTGGCTGCCACAGCAGTCACCCCCCAGCAGACTGCCGGTCGAGGGGCGCCGCCCGGGGCCAAGGCTGCCGGCCGCTGAAGCGTGG